GGAGTGGAGTTTCCTTACCCTGTCCACCTAACCTGGATGTGGTTGTGTGATCTAGCTCCTGCAACCTCCGCCTCCCCGGTTCAAGCAATTCCTCCTGCCTCAAGCCTCCCTCCCAAGTAGTTGGGATTACAGGCACACACCCACCACACCTCAGCTAATTTTGTATTGTTTTTTTCACAGTTCTAATTTTATGTATTTTTAGTGACACGGGGTTTACCAAGTTGGCAGGCTGGTCTCAAACTCTCTGACTCCTCAAGTGATTTCTTCCCGCTACGGCCTTCCAAAAGTGCGGCATTACAGGCGTAACAGCCACTGTGCCTGGCCAGGAAACAGTATTTTTGATTATCAAGGCTATCTCATTAGATTTGGCCTTTGATTATGTAGTACTCATTACCAGATAAGCCTCACCTGAATTGTCGCCTTGCTCGGAAGTCCTCCACTAAGACCTTAGACTTTTGAAAAGTCTTTGTTCGGCCAGGGCGTGGCTCACGACCTGTAATCCCCAGCATTTTGGAGGCGGCGAAGACGGCCATCAATAGTCAGAAGTTTCGTAGCACAGCCTGGCCAACATGGTGAAACCTCCGTCCCATCACTAAAAAAACAAAATTAGCTGGGCGTGGTGGTGGCACGCTCTGTATCCCAGCTACTCAGGAGCGCTGAGGCAGGAAATTTACTTAACCTGCGGAGGTGAGTTTGCAGTGAGCTGATGATCATGCACTGTTACTCCAGCCTGGACAACAGAGTGGGACTCCATCTCAAATAATGAAATAAGAGAGGCCAGCGCGTGGTGGCTCACGCCTGTAATCTTCCAGCCACTTTGGAGCGCGAGGCGGGCCAGTATCTAGGAGGTCAAGTGATGAATCTGAGACCACTCCTGGCCTAACCTGTCTCTACTGAACAAATACAAATTATTGCCACGACCGTTGTTGTGCGGGCGTCCTGTAGTCCCAGCGTACTGGAGAGCTGAGGCAGAGAATGATGTGTAAACCCGGGAGCGGACTCTGCAGGAGGCGGAGCTTGCAGTTGACCTGAATTGGTCGTCTCACTGCACTCCAGCCTGGGGAACTAGATCAAACTCTGTCTCAAATAAAATAAATAAATAGGCCCGGCGCGGTGCCTCACCTGTAATTCCCAGCACTTTGGACGTCGAGAACGGGGGGATCCACGGGTCCATGGAGATCAAAGACCATCCTGGCTAACACGGTGAAAACCCCGTCTCTACTCAAAAAATACAAAAAACTAGCTGGCCCCGATGATGGGCGGGCGCCCTGTAGTCCAGCTACTTGGGAGGCTGTAGCCCAGGAGAATAGCCTGGGTGAAAGAGTGAAACTCTGTCTCAAAAAAAAAAAAAAAAGAAAAGAAAAAGTAAAAGGAAAAAAGGAAGCCATGACTTTCCCAATGATACAAAGTAAGCATGTTACATTTTTTTTTTTTTTTGCAACGGAGTTTGGCTCTTGTCACCGAGACTGGAGTGCAATGGTGGGATCTCCGCTCCCTGTAACTTCCACCTCTCGAGTACAAGCGATTTTTCTCCCTCAGCCTCCTGAGTAGCTGGG